CTTCACCCCACATCTCACAATTAATCATATAACTCTTACTACTCATATCAACACTCACCATACAACTAATCAAATCACTCCAACCAACTTCACCCCACACCGCACTATTAATCATGCCACACACTTCTCTGTATGGCGACAATCAATACAGTTCACGTCATTCAAAATTCTTTCCTTGAATACAAGCACTTGGGCTTTCCCACGAGGCTAAATGGACGCCAGGCTCGGTGTTGTGTTTCCATTTTCCGACTTGGTGAGCCAAGTCTTTTGTGCTCAACGCCTCATCTACTTATTACTACTTTCTTTTGTTTTCTCTTAACTTTTCTTAATTTTTTTGTTCTGTTAACTTTTCTTAATTTTTAGATGATCGTTTTAATGAATTCGTTTTCTGGAGCTTAGTGTTAATTGTCGAGTCTAAAACTTTTTCATTTTTTGCTCTTTGAGGTAAGTAGTCTTTGATACGAATTTATACTTTAGAATTCAAGGTCTTTTTTGTACTGGGATTTATTTATTTTGTATTTATTTAGGATTTGTTTATTTTGTATTTTATTCCACCATTTCTTGACGAATAATAAATATCGAGAATTCGAAGGCATGATGGATGATGTTCCATTAACATAAATGACTTCGAGCTTCAAAATAAAACTGCTAGAACACGTCATAAGTAGAAAATGAGTTTTGTGAACTACAGAGCCAATGTTATATTATTTTCATGTATGGCTCGAGTTTACATACAGTTTGTTGTGCGTTATTATTGTGTCCTATGGTTGACTGCAGCCTCCAAAGTTCCCGCAAAAACATTCGTCGAACACAATGGGTCGCCAGACAATCCGTGGACCAGCCAAACGAGAGAGACAGTCCGAGTTGCCGGAGGCCCAGAGCTACGCTAAGGCCAGGCGATAGGCGTCTCTGTATAAATTTCTGTTCCCTGTAATGAAACTTTGCACTGGAGGCCATGCAGCAAAATTTTCTCGTCCGCTTTTGCCGTCGCAAGAAATTGAGGACAAAAACTGAGATTGGAAGGCCGTTTTGGTCGCTGGGGAAGTGAGGTCAGGGGACGGCGGAAGGGACTTGCGGCTTCGCTTTTAGGGGCAATGTTCTCCACTCAAAAGCTTCCGCGCTAAAGAAAATACTGCGACTCGTTCAATGGAACTGCTGGATTTATGATGTCTTTACGGTGCGTCTCGTTCGTATATTTTTGAACGACAGCGGTTGCTGCTGTGCTCTGGGTATGATGGTTGAGAGTACAGCGGTTGCTGTTGTGTTCTGGGTATGATGGTTGAGAGTACAGCATCTAGTGATCAATTTTTTAAGCTAACTTTGACATCACAGCGAAAATTTTTAATGAAATAACTTACATTTTGTGGTGAATCGATCACCCCTCGTTGTAATAGATACGTTTCAGTTAACACCTAAATTTTACCACAAGACTACCAAACTGCTAACAAAAAGTCGATGTACGACCGACGCCAACACTTCATGCAACTTATCTCATACACAGTGGAAAGCACCGGTGCCAGACTTAATGCCCTTAAACAACATAATCGGAAGAGTGCGAATGTGTGGGTACTCATAGTGTCCACACATTCAGTACGACACAGTCGTACTCGTGAACTATAGTTTACGAGTAAGCACGATGCTGCCAATGGATCTGCAAACATTATAGACTCAATATAATCGTGGAACTCTATAGTCAGTCCACGATTTCGTATGAGCAAGTCACTTGTTGCCATAAATGCCAGATAAACAATTTATGTTTAATATCAGGCGGGTCTCTTCTCATGTACACTTATACAGTCCTTGTAGCTTCTACTCAGCGTAGGACTTATTCGTCAACGGACACACTTTGAGGAAAATTTGAAATTGCGTAAAAAAAGTGCGCGAAGATTCTAATTACCAAGAAGCATGCACCAGATTCGAGGTATCTGCAAATACTCCAATATTGAAGTCGTGGCAGGCACCACACCCCGGGTTCTAGATGATGCATTAATTACACCCACCAAGAAGCCTGCACCACATGCCAAGTTTCTACCACCACACGAAGCAATTCAGTAGTAGCAGGCACCACAACCTTGGTTAAAGGTACCGTATAACGGTATATGTAAGTACACCCACCAAGAAGCCTGCACCACATGCCAGGTTTCTACCAACACCCAAAGTATTTCAGTCACACCAGGCACCACACCCCAAGTTTAAGGTGCCGCATAAGTACGCCCACCAAGAAGCCTGCACCACATGCCAGGTTTCTACCAACACCCAAAGTATTTCAGTCGCACCAGGCACCACACCCCAGGTTTAAGGTGCCGCATAAGTACACCCACCAAGAAGCCTGCACCACAGGCAAGGTTTCTACCACCGCACTAAGTATGCCAGTCGTAGCAGGCACCACACCCATGGTTTAAGGTGCCGCATAAGTACACCCACCAAGAAGCCTGCACCACACCCCAGGTTTAAGGTGCAGCATAAGTACGCCACCAAGAAGCCTGCACCAGGTTTAAGGTGCCGCATAAGTACACCCACCAAGAAGCATGCTCGAGGCCCTCGAAGTTATGAGCGGCAGTTTGCTTTGGGATCAGCAAATGAGCGGCGTGCGCCTCCTCGGCCGCTTTCCCTGCATAGGAATGGCTAATTATGACCGGAGCTGCTGGCCCCTCTGCCTTCCTTAACGCGGCGCTTGTGCACCAACGCCTCGTCATGTCGTTGATACACTCAGAGAAATTAATGAGGCTTTGTCTAGAAAGCAATGCGCGTTTGCCCGCGTGCAAGTAGCTATTTCAAACGATCGACAGTTTGGAAATGATCCGGTCGAAGGACCTGTTTTTAGATCTCCTGTGGATAAGTCACGAAAAGCACAAGAATCGGCGACAGGCCACATCAGGCCGACTCTTCAGCGCCGGCATCACTGCATGATATGTTATGTTGAGTGCACGTCATCTTGACCAAGTTTGACCAGGCAAATGGTTGTTTAATGGTAACCTGCAGAATGTGTCGATATTTGGACAATATACAGTATATATGTCCCATTCATTTCACTGAGGACACCATACAATTAACGCCGAGAATTCTCCTCTCTGCTGTTTGCTGTAGTTTGCCATTACTTTGCATTTTATTTAAGCGAATCAAAATATAATAATAATTTATATTTATTTTTTGCTGTGTGTTGTTTGCTATGTGAGCAGATTCTCCTCACGGCCTAACAAGCTTGTGGCCTATATAGAACATCAAGTACCCCATCAAAAGCGATCAAAATGATGACCAATTGAACTAGCAAAGAATTTCATGAGACTCTCCCGAGTCCATATCGTGACTCTCGACTGAAAATAATGGATAAACGATCGCCACAGCCAATCGTCACGTCAGTGTGCATTGCGAATGCATTCTGAGACCACAAGTTTAAACCTGCGTAAAACGACCTATTTATAACTGGCATCTTTATTCAAACATAGACAGGTTCTTCCATTATTGTCAGCAAAACTCATTTAAATGCCGGTATCGACTTATTATATTATGGAACCAAGCTTAAATAACATATATTGCAAATATTTTATACCATTCCGTTTATGCTGAGAGCATTAGAAACAGACACTAATGCAATTACACCTGTAAATTATACCCTATACACCATTTATGTTATCGTTAATCTCTTAATATTTATTAACGTGATACCTGCGGCAGCGGCGAGGCTGGCCGCTCGGTTCTTATTTTCCGCGCCGTAAGCCAGGCTCAGGCTGATAACTCCAAATTAATTTCGATCGGCGGATGAACATCGCAGCGCGAGGATCCATCCGAGCCCGAGACTTGGATTGTGGCTCGCCACAGCGCGCCACAGTTTACCACAGCCCGCTGCAACCAGCCACATTCCCCCTCAGCCTACCACATCCGGTACAGCGCCACAGTGACTGCTGGCTGCCACAACCAGTCACAGCCCACTACAGACCGGAGCATAACCAGCCACAACCTGCCACAGACCGGTACATACAAATGCAGGCCGCCACAACCAGCTACAACCAGCTACAACCCGCTACAGACCGGTACAGACCCTTGCTGGCCGCCACAACCTGCCACAGACCGGTACAGACCCATGCTGGCCGCCACAACCTGCCACAGACCGGTACAGACCCATGCTGGCCGCCACAACCTGCCACAGACCGGAAGAGACCCATGCTGGCCGCCACAACCTGCCACAGGCCGGTACAGACCCCTGCTGGCCACCACAACCCGCCACATCCCGTTAAAGACCCTTGCTGGCCACTACAACTCGCTCACTTAGGATATCGAGAGTTTAATTGACTTAGTCTACGGATGTTACACCTGAGATTAAAATAACTTGGACGGAGGTTGGTCACTGAACAAATCTTGAAATTATGTGTAATTTCAGAGAGTACATAAAGTGTATAAATAACTAGAAATTAAACTTGCAGTACATTGACTTACTTAAGCATGTCTTTTTGAATCATAAAACGTGTTACGGGGCGTCTCAAGGTTGCTTGCAATGTCCCATTAAATGAGTTAAGACTGGCCTAAATTACGCAGTTCGGGCATGAACAAAAAGTTGGTTTGTTTTGCCGTTGAGATCTGGTGAAAAACCGTGTTGTAAAAATATCAAATAATAATAAATATAACGTGCTTGTTTGGTATGTTGACACTCAAAACGGAAGTTTAAACACTAAGGTTGGAAATAGCATTTTGAATTCCAAGCAGCTTGGGTGGATACAAAATCGATAAAAAAAAGTTAAAAACGTCGAGACACTCGACACGTAGGAAGACTCACTTTGAGTGTTCGGATGGTTATGATATAGGTTCTCGACAAGAGGCCAGAATTACTCTGAGTGTTCAGGTTGATGAAGGCTCTCAACAAGAGGCCAGAATCACTCTGAGTGTTCAGGTTGAGGAAGGCTCTCGACAAGAGGCCAGAATCACTCGACAAGAGGCCAGAATCACTCGACAAGAGGCCAGAATCCCTCGACAAGAGGCCAGAATCACTCTGAGTGTTCAGGTTGATGAACGGCTGCAGTGTTCACGGCAGCAGCAGCGCCGCCCATCCTTCAGGAGGCAAGAAGCGCTCTGATCCATCAGCGTCAGCCGCACGGCGCTGGAGTGGCGGTGAGCGAGCCTGCCAACGTCGGGTGTGGAGAAAGCTTAAGTCAAGAGTTCAATTGTTAATCACTTCCAGATTTCTTTCTTTTATGAAGAAAACCAAATAAAAATACTTTTTCGGTATGGGGAGAAAAAAGAATCTCTAACTCAATTTATGTGGAGTATATATTGGCTTATATTTAAATTTCTCGTTGTTTGATTATAACGAAATGCATTATCAGGCATAGGAGCAGACTACATAGGGGAGCATAGAGGAGCATTATCAGGCATAGAGCATTTTAGATCTCCAAAGTTCTGAAAACGTTTACAGAATACGAGTTATTGGAAGCCTCGAATCGATCAACGCGTTGATGATGATAGTTGTTCTAGTCTGCATAGGTGATTGACAGAATAATTCTCAGAGCATCGGTTGGTGAGGCAATTGCCTTTAAATTTTATAAATTTGTTGGCAAGGTCCCTTGAAATTTCGGAATTTATGAATTTTGAAGCCATTTAAGAAAAGCCCATCTTTCGTGCCATCACGCACCGACATTCTTTATGTGAATAATTAGATGTAGTCGCATGAGTCACTGAACGAAGACAAATAGAACGAAGTATTTTTAGAGAGAGACACAGAATATTTTATTGCGTTTGAGTTGTATGGAAGCAGTGCGAATAAAAGTACGACATCTTATTATATGCAAACAAAATTTAAATACGCTACGTGGAGCTTTCGAAAATACGTTAATAATCGAATTCTACCTCAGCTACCGACTATAAAAAATTAATCTTGCTAGAAATTTATGAGTTATCTAAGGAGCTCGCTTGATATGTCTTTTCTGAAAACAATTCCGAAGTATGTGTCGAAATGTCGATAAAGCGCCAAATGTTTGTGTCTGGACTGGCGGACATTTTCCGTTATAGCAAATGTGACGAGAAGCCTTTCAATCAGCGAGCAATCAGGGCTGAGCTGTAAATCCCTGGCTGTTTACAGCGCTGCCACAACAGAGGTAGTGTTGAACGCAGCTCTTATTGCTGCAGCTCTTATTGCTGCAGCTCTTATTGCTGCAGCTCTTATTGCTGCAGCTCTTATTGCTGCAGCTCTTATTGCTGCAGACCTGTTTTTATATTGCTGCAGTTCCCTGTTGCTTTTATTGCTGCAGTTTCCTGTTTTTATTATGCTGCAGTTCCCTGTTGCTTTTATTCCTGCAGCTCCCAGTTGCTCTTATTATTTGTCGCTGCAGTGATCATTCTGGAGCGGGGCAGGGAGGGAAGCTTGACTTAGGGGTGTGATCCGATGATGGAAAGGATTACTTGTTCGTATTTCTGTCTCTGAATCTTCGTAGATACATGCACAAATAAATACAAGAGACAGTCTCTTCGTTTCTTAAGTTGCTGCGTATAATAAACACAGAGATGAGCTTTCAGAAATGATTTAATTCTGTACTTCACACACAAATCGGGTGTGATTATTGGCCAGCGGATGGCTGTGGAATTGGAATGTGCATAATGACGTCACTCAAAACTGATAAATTATATAGAAAACGTCAAATTCTATGCTCCAAGATGAAAATTAAACACGGTATTTTAGTGAAAAACGTTTTCAACATCAGCAATTTCAACAAGATGAATCTGCATTTAACTGGAATTGAAGATGGAACAGGTATCTTTAAATGAAGCTAAAATTTGTAATATCACTATTATCTTATTTTGTTATTCGTTGCAAAATTATGCATTTAGAAAGGTTTGTATTTCAAAGAAGATGTTTCTAGGAGTTATGCACTTTTTTAAGAAACTGTTTCAATGAGTAAAATTAATTTTCAAGTAAAATTTTTGCTCTCTATCCCAAAAATTATATATTTCGAGTGGAAACATTCATGAAAATTGGAGTATGGTGGTTACGGCGGTAGTAGCAACTCCAAAGAAAAACTCAAGTGCATAGAAATTTCAGCAGCTTTAAGTTGACGGCTGGTCAGACCTGCCTGATAGTGAGCGCTGTCACCGTGCAAAAAATCTAGACTCCTCGCAAAATTATGAATGCCTCTAGCGCGTTTACTTTTATTCGATAAGGTATACAGATTAGCTTGCCCAGCATACGTGGCACGTATGTTATTCCGATAGCAGGCACCGCAGCCGCGCGCTGCGCCGATCCGGCGCTGATCAAGGCAGTCTCACCGCACATTAATAGCGAGGACGGCACTATGGGGGCAGGCTTTACATCCAGGCATTTTATGCGTGGATTTCGAGATAAAAAGCCAAGAAGACTCCAGGTATTTTATGCGTGGATTTCGAGATAAGAAGCCAAGAAGACTCCAGGCATTTTATGCGTGGATTTCGAGATAAGAAGCCACGAAGACTCCAGGCATTTTATGCGTGGATTTCGAGATAAGAAGCCAAGAAGACTCCAGGCATTTTATGCGTGGATTTCGAGATAAGAAGCCAAGAAGACTCAAGGGAACGCCGCCTACAGGGTGCTTCTTTAGGTCGGCGCGCGCCTTCTCTCTTTATGGTCCTGACCAGGGCAATGGGGCGATAAAAAGGCACCTAATCTAAATTTGAATACTTCAAAAAAAGCCAGCTAATGAGCCCCGTTAAAAGTAGCACATTTGCCAATTACGGAGTTTTTGTAGGAAGTTTGATGCAAGTTGAAGTTCAGTTTTGAGCTCAGCGTCTTAGCTCGAGCTTGGCCCGCAAATTGGTTTTAAGACCGCAGAGATCTCCGCAACTCGTAGAGATAATCGATGCTTGTTTTTCAGCGAAGATATTTTAATTACTATAATTAAACATCTTCATTAACTTATGGGAGGAATTTATCTAAGTTTTGATACAGTTCACAATTGTTTCGGATATTCTGAGGTGTCTTATGTGACTATATCAGTTTTGTTTTTTCAGTCTATTTCACTCATGCGACTATAATTAAGGGAGACAATTTCAGTGTTCATATCAACCCGAATTTTTCGTATAATTGTGAGGAATCTGGAGGACTTATATCATGGATGATACTATAATATAAGCATATGTAAAAATTTATTGTCATGATACTTCATTTATGGCATTGCTATACAGCGTGAAAAGGAAGACTATATAAATAAAATAACGTTAACTTATGTTAAAATAACTCAAGCGCGTTTGGCTAAGCCAATCTACCAACGCTTCACAAGCACACTCAATTTCCTCCTAGTTGCAAACTAACGAAATTTTCACGTTTAAATCCTCTGCAGAATATTGAGCTTGCATGTATCTCGAGCAATGCAAAACATAGCACAAGAAAGCAACAGTTGTTCGACAATACGATCATCTTTCTCATTCCCCAGTCACCTAGCGACTCAGTTTTGCTAACGAACTAATCCAGTTCTGCACTGGAGCCCTAGAAAAAATTCCTATCTTCTTCCCCGGTCTGAGCTTAAAGAATAAAGTTTTTAATTGGAAAACTCCCAAGGGCTGCATTGTTTTCCGTGCTGAAGCGGGACCCGCTAATAAGAACCCAGCTTTAGCTTCTTGTTGTCTTCCCTTTTCTTTGCAGTTCTCCGCTCCGCCGCGAAATTAACGTCACTCCTGCAAAAAAACTCGCTTGTTTAATTCCAGGCAAGTTGTAGTCCTGGAACGAACTAAGTCAAGGGAACGCAATCACCGCAACATATATATACGCCTAGAAATAAAAAATTGTTAGGAAATTCCGACAATTTGTGTTTATAGTGGGTTTCATTGAGTGCTGCGTTAATGGACCCAAGAAAAATATTTTACAAACAGTGTTATAAATTGTGTTCCAAATACAACGCAAGGCGAAAAAAATACAACGGTTGGAAAAAGTTTACACCAACATGATTTTAATTTTGTTTTAAGTTTGTCAAATTTCCCTCTTCAATTCAAAAGCTCGACTTACACGCCTTAGAGTCACGAAGCTCGACTTCGATATCCGTGATGCTTTCATACATGTTCCTCATCTTTACTAACACATAGACGTTTGTTCGATGCGGGTGCCCACGCATGAAACTCAAATTGATCGCCCTAGCTTTTAACCTTTCAAAATATACATTCTAAGTTTCCTAAATAAGTGAATTTTCCACACATTTATTTCTGAAAATTCGAGGCAAAATCCCAGAAAATTAAACAACGCACGGCCCACATTTTGTTAGTTTGTGGACGTTTGCACCTCAATTAGCGTAGATCGTCTCGAAATGACCTGCAATTTATTAGGTAATTTTCTAGTAAGCAATTAGGGGGCGAAGAAGGGCCGTATACACGAGATCGTTAGCGTCAGGGTGTGGTCAGGGTTGGTGTAATTATGCAGACTTTGCATCTGCACATACGTTTATATCCTGTGATCCTCGCCAGCCGTTGTCGGTGTCAGAGCCTTGACACACAACGCCTTTACTCCTGCTAGCGCCTTTACTCCTATCCCGCTCCATGCTAGCGCCTTTACTTCTCTCCTGCTCCCTGATAGCACCTTTACTCCTTTCTCACTCCCTGCTAGCGCCTTTACTCCTCTCCCGCTCCTAGCTGCTAGCACCTATACTCCTCTCCCGCTCCCTGACAGCGTCTTTACTCCTCTCCCGCTCCTAGCTGATAGCGCCTTTACTCCTCTCCCGCTCCCTGACAGCGTCTTTACTCCTATCCCGCTCCTAGCTGATAGCGCCTTTACTCCTCTCCCGCTCCCTGACAGCGTATTTTCTTCTCAACCGCTCCCTGCTAACTCCTTTACTCCTCTCCCGCTCCCTGAAAGCGCCTTTACTCCTCTCCTGCTCCGTGCTAACGCCTTTACTCCTCTCCCGCTCCCTGACAGCGCCTTCACTCCTTTCCCACTCCCTGCTAGCGCCTTTACTCTTCTCCTGCTCCGTGCTAACGCCTTTACTCCTCTCCTGCTCCGTGCTAGCGCCTTTACTCCTCTCCCGCTCCCTGACAGCGCCTTCACTCCTTTCTCACTCCCTGCTAGCGCCTTTACTCCTCTCCTGCTCCGTGCTAACGCCTTTACTCCTCTCCCGCTCCCTGACAGTGCCTTCACTCCTTTCCCACTCCCTGACAGCGCCTTTACTCATTTCCTCTTCCATGATAGCGTCTCTACTCCTCTTTCGATCCCTTTTAGCTCCTTTACTTAACTCTCCTGCTCCCCAAAGGCACCTTTATTCCTTTTCATTCCCTGATAGCGCCTTTACTTTTCTCCCGCTCCTTTGTAGCGCCTTTACTCTTATCCAGCTCCTTGATATCGTCTTTACTCCTATCCAGCTCCTTGATGTCTCCTTTACTCCTCTTCCGCTTCTTGATATCTCCTTTACTCCTTCCTATCCAGCTCCTTGATATCGCCTTTACTCCTATCCAGCTCCTTGATATCGCCTTTACTCCTATCCAGCTCCCTGATATCGCCTTTACTCCAATCCAGCTCCTTGACATCGCCTTTACTCCTATCCAGCTCCTTGATATCGCCTTTACTCCTATCCAGCTCCTTGATATCGCCTTTACTCCTATCCAGCTCCCTGATATCGCCTTTACTCCAATCCAGCTCCTTGACATCGCCTTTACTCCTATCCAGCTCCTTGACATCGCCTTTACTCCTATCCAGCTCCTTGACATCGCCTTTACTCCTATCCAGCTCCTTGATATTGCCTTTACTCCTATCCAGCTCCATGATATCGCCTTTACTCCTATCCAGCTCCCTGATATCGCCTTTACTCCTATCCAGCTCCTTGATATCGCCTTTACTCCTACAGATCCTTGACATCGCTTTCACTCCTCTTCCGCTCCTTGATATCGCCTTTACTCCTATCCAGCTCCCTGATATCGCCTCTACTCTTATCCAGCTCCTTGATATCGCCTTTACTCCTATCCAGCTCCTTGATATCGCATTTACTCTTATCCAGCTCGTTTATATCGCCTTTACTCTTATCCAGCTTGTTTATATCGCCTTTACTCTTATCCAGCTCGTTTATATCGCCTTTACTCTTATCCAGCTCGTTTATATCGCCTTTACTCCTATCCAGCACCTTGATATCGCCTTTACTCCTATCCAGCTCCTTGATATCGCCTTTACTCCTATCCAGCTCCTTGATATCGCCTTTATTCCTCTTCCGCTCCTTGATATATCCTTTACTCCTTCCTATCCAGCACCCTGATATCGCTTTTACTCCTATCCAGCCCCTTGATATCGCCTTTACTCATATCCAGCTCCTTGATATCGCCTTTTCAGCGCCTCGCTGGCAGCCTAACCAGCTACCGCCGTCTCCCCAAGTTCTGGGCGGTTCTCTCAACAATTGATAATGCGGCGCGAGTGCGCTGCTTGAGACAATTATGTTGATGCGCCTGGCAACTTCTGGCACAGATAGCATAGGTAATTAATGAAGCCACCTGAGTGCCTACGGAGGATACTCTTACTTCTTTGCTACGAGGAAGTAGCTGTAAAATATTAGAGAGTTTCATCATTCAATTACGTGGGAAAGTGCGAATGATGCTGGTGCTTAAATTGAATATATCACTGTAATTGGTAAATAGTGGAAATAGATTCGTGTTATAATGACTGATCGTATAGATTCTACCTGTTCAAGTAAAAGATCCATGTTATACTAACTGACTTATCATATATATTCTACCTGTTCAAGTGGAAGATCCATATTAAACTGACTAATCATTTATATTCTACCTGTTCAAGTAAAAGGTTCGTGTTTTACTGACTAACGTTTTAGGTCCAAACAGCTCGATCAGGCCAAAGTTTGGAATTAGGCTGTCACAGGTTTTCTATAACGAACTATTTTTGTAGAAGGTGATAACTTATGTATCTCGGCTTTAAATTTTTGTTCTAAGTTAATTGATTATTATTGTTTATTATTTAACCTTTTCTTTCCTGCTAGCTAATATTTCGATGTTACAAGCCTCACCACAGTCAGGTGTGGCGGGCTCACAGGAGATCGTCCGATTTACCTTAGATATAATTACGAGTATATAATTAATATAATATTTATTATACAATTAATATAATTACCCGCTACAGAATTAGTTGTAGCTGTTGTATAATTATATTAATTAATATACTTAATTGATATAATAGTTATCATTCTACAGCATCACCGCAGTCAATTGTGTCGAGCATACACGAGCTCGTCCAATTTTTACCCAAGCCTGCAACTCGTTTAAAACAACAACGGCCCCGGGTTGACCGGAGTCGCTATCGCTTGATTGCTGCATAGGAGCGACCGCTGGATTGGATGTTCGAATTAAATTGCACTCAACTGATTGCTGAGCTGTGATAATTGCTCCTGATTAGTGGGAGGGAAGAAAAGGGGCAGTTTTTAACAAATTTAACGGCACTTAGCTTATTACTGACTCGTCGTGTGTGTTTCAAGATGCACTACAACACGACAGTGAAATGTGCGGAACACATAACGCTTAACACACGGCATAGAAGCACCACTAGCATTTGTCAGCAGAACTTTCACGCACGCTGAAACGTTGGTCATGCAGATGGTATTGGGCAAAGCATTCAGGCAACTAAAGAATTATCGATCACTAGGAACATTTACCAGCTTCAACAAGTAGGTTTAACGAACAGTAAGTCAGCCCAGTAGCGAGTATCTGCAAATAAATCTTCAGTTGATTTAACACGAATCTTGAATAAATTTCTCGTGTTTGTTACAGAATGTTATCATTTTTTTCAGCGCTTCCGCAGACATTTGTCTCAAAAAAAGTTACAGCGGCCACGTGACAAATTTCTTTCAGAAGCTGTTTTGCGTTCCGGTAGGGACCTTTAGATCTGCATCGCGGCAGCCAAATCCCAACAGCCCTTCAGAAATCTGATAAACGGAGGTGCAGCTTAGCCGGCTGTAGGGCTCACCTCTAAATAGGGCCCTTTCGGCAGCTTGAAGAACCTATCATGATAATAATACAATTTTACGTACAATGGGGAGATTTTATCTGCACATTTTCGTGACAATGTGAACTCTTAAATTTTTTATTTGCAGAGACAACAAACAAAGAACTATCTCTTCTTGTTTCATTTTTGATACTGGTTGTGCAGTCTTAGTTAACGAGGATAGCGCAATCAGACCAGGAAAATGAGTCTGTGAAGAGGAGATTCAAATTCTGAGCTACAGAATTAAAATCAAGGACGCAAGATGATGAGAAGTAACTTACCTTTCAGCATCCGTGCCACAGTTCAATGACCCCAGGCCATAGTTCAATGACACGAATTTTTAGCTTACATTCAAACTCAGAAAGAGTTCGTTTTCTGAATTAGGATGGTTTCTGTCACACCGGTTATCCTGCTGCACCACACACCATGACCACGGCACCACGACCACAACCACGACCACAACACCACGACCACGGCACCACGACCACGGCACCACGACCACGGCACCACGACACCACACGATAAGTTTAATCACGTCCTTGTACAAAATAGAAGCGGCGGAGATGTAGGCCTGACTGGGCGGGGGCGGCGCTCCTGCACCATTTGTCAAGACGTTGCTCATTATGCATTCACCGCTGATGTGTTTCTTTAATCGGCCTCGCTCATTTATCACCTTTAATTGCGGACATTATGTGAAATATGGCTTCATTCGTTATTCACTTGAGCCGACAAAAAATTCTAAGCCTACACGGATTTTTTGTGGATGATGATTCGAAGAGATGTTAAGGAATGGCCAAGATTTTCGAACTCTCAACAAATACAAGAGGAATAGTGCATAAAATGTTGCGTGTAATAGTTAGTTCCATAAAAACTTAATGTGTTTAGTCACAATGGTCGTTTATTTAAGATTTCTCTCAGCGCTATCAGAAGATTGTTGAATGCGTTTTTGTTAAATGCGCTTTTTACATGATAATTTAATTGTGTAAAAATAACGATTCTTTGAAGACTGTTCAGAGAAATGTATGTTTAGTTGCGAGTATGAAGCTCATAATCAATTAATAATCATCATTAAAGATTTTCAAATAAGTACGAGTATTGGAAGGGAAAACAGAAATAATCATAAACTTCGATTCGTCTTTATAGACAATATATCTTGTATCTTCAACGGTTGAAATCCGTATCCGGTCCTAATTATTTATTTCTTGTGTGCATCACTTGACTTATCACGACTACGCTGTTCTTCAGTTCCAGCTTCATCGCTTAGTGACTTTGGATATCAAGTTTTACAGCACGAACTGTGACCAACATACATATATGTACATAAGATCGTATATAAGATCAAAAAACAATAAGAAAATTGTTAATAAAAAGTACGCTCTGGTCTTCAATCAAACCTGTATAAATGAAGAACTTCTGCCTAACTACACTAATATGTACATATATATATATATATGTTAATTGCCTTTTACCGGGAATAATATTGACTTTTAAGCAATATCTATCAACGTCATATGATCGTTTTAACAATATTTTTGCATAAACTCGTCGATTTGCAGTACTTGAATGCGTGTTCGTAAATTCTACTTTCGAAATTCTTAAATGAATTTAAGATTTAATAACAGTTGTAGATTAAATCAATAAATTTCAGAGACTAGAAAACATCAGCCAAAACATTGTACATGAGATAAACGGTAAGAACGAAGATAAAGATAACAGATGGTCTCGAGTGGGCTACCAAGTAAGGCAAGTGTATAACTCGGAGGCTCTTCTACAAAGTAACTTGTAGCGCAAAGTTTGTGTGCCTTGTTCCAGCTCAGCCGAGTTTTTATCTGCTCAATAAAATGCATTATATAGATAGCTGAACAGCCTCACCGCTCTAAGGGATTCGAATTAGAAGCTCTAGTAAGACCGGGGCGGGCTCGTTTGAAAAACGTTCTGGACAATACCCCGTTACGTTCTAGACACGTGCTGGATACGTTTTTGTTACGTTTCTTAACACCTTTTTAAACACGCTTCTGTTACGTACTATACACCTTCTGAACACGCTTCTTTTACGTACAATACACGTTCTGAACACGCTTCTAGACACGTTATAAACACATTCTATGAACTCGAAGAAACATTAGTTAGCGAGCTTGCTTACTTCTAGCAACCCCAGGTCGAGTGAAGTGAAAGAGTCTCGCGGAAATTTTTGAATAAGTGTTGAATGTTCATAAAAAAATTCGATGTTTTGGGAGAAGCTATTGAATTGTTGCATGC